TGCCTTGCGTTTTTTTTTGTGTGTGTGGCAGGGAGAATTGTATCCCCCAATCTCCTTCCTCAAGAGGTGGAAAAAAAAGCATAGCTGTAAGGGGAAAAAAACAAAGAGAATGTTGTTTATACGGGATGCTTCCGTGATTAAAACTTGAAATATTTTAAAAGTTTCATGTTCAAATTTCAAACTCTACTATAGAACTTGATATGTGCCAGTTTTTATACATGCGATTTCCAGTAAAAATAACCAATTTGTAGATAAAAGATCTAAATAATGACACATAATTGATGTCGACTCGTAGAATTTCCTAACCAGGATCCTTTAAAATAAGAACTTATCGTTAGATGATTGAACTTGGATTTACAAACTGCAGAGAACACCTCATCATCCACTCCCTCCCAGGAGACCGGCTTGTACATCTGGTAGCAATGTGAGTCTCGACGTGGACGCTTAAGGTATTTTACAGATTGCGCTTTGATGCTTCAACACTAGCTTTTTTACTCTTGGTTCTGTTGTTGTTGTTGTTGCAGGCAGGGTTAGATTGATTAAAATGTTCAAAGGAAGTGATTATATGCGTTTACAGACATCTCTACTCGTCCAAATTCTGCTCCTTGCAATTGCCCCCTTTGAATGTTGATCTAAACTATTCTTAATAAAGGAGCTTTCGTTTGAGATAAATCCAATATGCGCTCTCTTTCTTCACTCTTTAAGTTTAGATAAATCCTTAAGAGTGACTTGTTTTCTTTAAATACATAATGTTTTTATAAAATATATATTCTTAAAATCGTTTGGAAAAAAAATTTGGGGTATCCTAATATTTATTTATTAATCTAAGGCATAAAGGCTCCAATAATTCATCGTCGGTTAAAGTATATTTGATATTGCGATAAAGTATATTTGATATTGCGATAATTATAGTAGTTGTAATTTGAAAAAAATAATTTTATAAAAAATATTTTTAACTGAGGTTAATTTAAAAAAATACATGTTTAGTTAAAACTGTTATTGAAATTGAGGTTGAATAAAATATAATTTAACATGTTTGGTTAAAAATATTTTTTAAAATTAAGGTTATAAAATAAATAAAAAATATATATTAATATTGATAATTTTTAATTGAAATATTATTTATTTAACTATTGTTGTTATATTATGAAATAAATAATACTTTATATAAATTATTTTTTATTATTTCATTAAACTATTTGTAATACTATTACATACGAAATTCATCTGATAAGGACAATAGTTTTTATAGCTTTCTGAATGTGAAACAATATTAGATAAAAAACCTTCAAAAATAAAATTGAAACTACAATTAAATTTTATAAATGCTATGTTATAACGTGATTTTTTTTATATAATTTAATTTTTATGGTGTCATTGAATAATATTAAATATTAACTTTTCAAATAAAATATAATATTTAAAAAATTATTTTGATTTTTTTTTATTTCACTCAAATGGACCCAAACATCCTACATTTAGGTTTGAGTTAAACCCAATCAAATTATGAATAATAAATATATTCTTCACTGTTTATGTGTGAAACATGTGTGAATAATAAAGAATGAATTATATTGTGAATCTAGATTTCTAAATTTTTGACAAGAGGGACAAGATTCACGGTGATATATTTATTATGTTATAAATGAATAACCCATTGATTTTTTTGTCAATGCAGCCTCTCGATTAAGATGAATCTTTGGATTTTGAATGCTATCTTGTGAGGTAATTTTTCACAATCCTAAGTCTCTCGATTTAGATGAATCGTTGGATTTTGGATGCCATCTTGTGAGGTAATTTTTCACAATCCTAAACTAGGTCTTAAGTGCAGGCTGCACTTGTTGGCTTCTACTTTGATTTTTTTTAGACAAGATCTACTTGAATTTCCCTCATTTTACCTCTGTTGCATTGCTCTTGATAAAAGATCTAGTATTATTAGCAAGTAAACAACTTTCAATAAACTCAGGGTTGCTCTTCTTTTTTAATGAAAGCGCTCTTTCTTTTTATTGATTTCCTCCTGTTTTTTTTTTTATTCTTTACTGTTCACTTTTCTACTGTTTTTTAAAATTAGCTACTGTTTGCGAAGCACAAAAAATATGCTTTTAGTAAACCTACGACACAGCTGTAATTTATGTCCCATCTATCAAAATAAAATTATATTTTTTACTTAACTAAATAATAATATATATAACTGTAACTAAATTTCATCGGCAGTCACAATACCAAATTTACAATCACTTCCCCAACAAAAAAAAGTGTGAGAGTAAAAATCACAAAGACAATAACATAAAACAATTACCCAGGAAGCTATACTTTTAAAAGTTACTAAGTTTCATGTATAAATATTTTTCTTATTTATCTCTATATATTTAGTTTCATTATTACTATAACTATTATTCTTATTATTTACAAGCTACATGTATAGTTTTTTTAAGATAAAAATGCTCTTGTATTATTGCATATTCATGGTAATTAAATTAGTTTATAAGAGAATGAGTTAATTACATAGATGGATTTTATTAATTTAGAGAGTGTGTGGCTACAGTTGAACTAAAATTTTTAGCTTCAGTTAAACTAATTTTTTTTTAAAATTTATATTTTTTGATGTCTTTTAAATTATTGTGATATATTAACGTAAAAATTAAATTTAAAAAATAAAAATATTATACCCAGGAAGCTATACTTTTAAAAGTTATTAAGTTTCATGTATGAATATTTTTCTTATTTATCTCTATATGTTTAGTTTTATTATTACTATAACTATTATTCTTATTATTTACAAGCTACATGTATAGTTTTTTTGAGATAAAAATGCTCTTGTATTATTGCATATTCATGGTAATTAAATTAGTTTATAAGAGAATGAGTTAATTACATAGATGGATTTTATTAATTTAGAGAGTGTGTGGCTACAGTTGAACTAAAATTTTTAGCTCCAGTTAAACTTTTTTTTTTTAATTTAGATTTTTTTTATTTTTTTATGCCTTTTAAATTATTGTGATATATTAATGTAAAAATTAAATTTAAAAAATAAAAAATATTATTTTAATTTATTTTTAAATTAAAAAATTAAAAAACAATATTTTTTTAACACTTCCTTGGTACCGACTTAGTGTTTTAAGAAGTAAATTAAAATTTAAGAAAAAAAAAATAGCACATTCCCATGAAAATCCATCCTTCTCCCTGCCAAATGATAGACTTTGTTACCATTATGCAGTGTAAAAAAGCTCGTCCATTGATGTATTATTAATAATGTTTTTTAAAATATTTTTTATTTTAAAAAATAATTAAATTAATAAATTTTTTTTATTTTTTAATTTTTTTTTTAATTTTAAAAATTCAACTTAAAAACATAATTTCTTTAATAAAATAAAATAAAATTGTTTTAAAAAGCTCATTTAAAACACAAAAATAACCAGTTGTTATAGAAAACACCAAGTAGTTTCTAGAACCGTCAATCGAAAACACCAAGTAGTTTCTAGAACCGTCAAGTCGTCGTTATGTAGAAAAGAAAGAAAAACGACAGGTCATTTGTAGTGCGGCTTTGAAATTCTCTTAAGCAAAACCCCTGTGCTTCGCTTGGTTGCAGTTTCTGCAGGAAGGACGGTCATGAGAGGGCTTTCATCCTTTAGCTTCTAGATCATAGCCTGAACTCAATAACTTCCGTAAATCTAAAAAGTCATTCAATCAGTAAAAGTTCCCGACACAAAAGTAACCTCTCAAAGCGCAAAACTGATCAACTTCAAAGGCAAACCAACAACACTGATGCTACTTTGACAGGTAATAATAGTCTTTCTTCACTAATCTTCCAGCTTAAAAAAGCCCAACTCAGTTTCCAGTCCCAAAAGGTTATTTCATAGAAAAGGAGCCTGCCTTGTGGATGTTGGCTTGCGATACATTATTCCGCTGCCTGTCAGAGAAGTGTATGCCAAGAGAGGCAGGTGCATTATCGACGAAACTTGGGTAGGGGGGTTACTGGCCTGACATTTCGACGTTTAACATCGCAGTGACTTGTTTGCTAGAGGGTGTGGATGTCTATGAGACGTGTGGGATGTTGGATAGATTTAGGAAACTTGGGTAGGGGGGTTACTTGCCTGACATTTCGACGTTTAACATCCCAGTGACTTGTTTGCTAGAGGGCGTGGATGTCAATGAGACGTGTGGGATGTTGGATAGATTTATTGAACAGGGTGCGAAGTTGGGGTTTAGCATTTACCTTGAATTGATTGAAACTTTGTACAAGGCAGGAAGAGGTATGGAGGGTGATCCGTAATAGAATCAAATGGTCACAGATGGACTTGTGTCAGATGTCTTTTCTCATAACATGCCAGTTGATTGCTTCTGCAAAGCCAATGTGATGAACGAGGCAGCAAAGGCTTTCAAAGTGATGCAAGATAAGAGGTATTTCTCCCAACCTTGTTACTGTTGCAGATGCTTTTAGAACGTTGATTGAAGCCAAATATCTTCAATTTTAGTTTGATAATTGATGGTCTTTGTCGAGTACAACAGGTTGATGATGCTTTAGGCTGTTTCAGTGAAATGGTGGAGTGGGGTATCTCTCTTAATGCTGTCACGGACAATATATTGATTGATTGGTTCTCTGTGTGTTAGAGGGGATGCTGTTAGATCAATGAAACTCTTGCTAGACATGCAAAAACATGGAAAAAGCATTGATATTTTATCTGCATTTCTTGTTGGGGTGTCTATATTCTGCTGCAGCCTAGGTGTTTGACAGATAACGAACAGATGGTCCTAAAAAATTAGTGATTTTAATTTCGGAGCATTAACGATAATTTTCTGATCCTTCACAGGGAGGCGGACGAAGATGGGCCTCAAACAGGCACAGGAATTGCTGGCGGCATGCCTCAAACAGTCACAGGCATTGTAGATGCTGATCCGGCTGAAGTTGTTGCAAAAGCTTTGCCATGTTTCAACAATAAATATGTAAGTGGGATCTTGATTTTATCCACCCATGGTAGGATACATGCGGTCGAGTACGTTGAAATATGTTCGATTAATCATCGCTGCTTCACCCAGTGATCCTTTTATGTGCTTGTTTCTGACTTGCATATTAATGTTGCCTGTTAGGTTTATAATTTCCTTCACTTACCTCCACTGCTGGGTTAAGTACTTACGTTTCTGGGAGCTGTCTCTGGTGTGGTCTTTCTTGGGCATTGTTCTTTGTTCATTTTCTCTTTAGCTCCAAAAGAGTTATCATGTGAAACGTTTAATCAGTGGTCAAAATGTTCTTTCATGCTTCGTACAAATTGCTTTGGCATTGATTTTTGCTAAGTCCCGGCTTTACAGCAGCTATCAAGAAGCCTATAGATTGACCTAGACTGGTAACCTTAATGGGCTTCCTGAATATGTTGATCCCTACTGCAATGGACCGTGCCCTTCAGAGACAAATTTGGTGATCGAAAACATCACGAAAAACTTTGTTTTCTATAATAAATCCACCATAGAGGATGTTCGAGACACAATCAAGGCAGGATGTTGCTATGGTCCCGAAAGAGGTATTTTACTAGTTTATGAAGCTGTCATCTTTGTTTTGGTTTCTTCCACAAAGTCAAATTCTGTTGTTGGTGTCACCCAGGTAATTTTGACGTGTCTGAGCACCTTCAAGCTGAACAAAACAATGCATACAACACCGCAAATCAGATTCTGCTAGGACTTGGCTTCATGTTTGCTGGGCCTGCTTTGTTGCTTTGATATTTATTATGATGTCTGCAATTTGTGGTTGGAGGTTGCTTGTTTTCAGAGGGATTTCTTCTAGTTGAGATGTTCTGAGAGAGGAGACGAGCGTTATTTTTCGCTAGCTTGAAGTTAATGTGCTCATTTTGGCATTCAGAAAGAAAATAACAAGTTATATTTGTGTCCTGGTATGTAATAGCAAAATGTGCAGTTTTGAAAGCTTGATTTGATGAGTTCCTGGAACTAAATTTTGTTCAAGCTACACGGAAACCTCTACAACCACCAATATGGATGACGAAGTTTTCTGTGAAGCAACAATGGGGAGTATACAGCCTCCCTAGAACTCACAGTGGACTTTGTTTTGCTACACAGGCTGCATACAAAAACAAACCTGCAGAATCTGTGACAGGGAACAATGGAAATCCAAGGGAAACTTAGAGGTTTTCATTGACTTCATGGGATCTTAAAATTTCTTTTACTGACATGTTTTTATAAACTCAAAAACTTCAATAACACACTACAATATTACAATATTTTCTCGTGATTCTTAGAAGTTGAAATGTTAAGATCATGCCGTAGAATATCAAAATTTTCAGAGGAAAGAAGTTCTGAATTTGTATAATTGATATTGTAATGCAATGTATTTTTCAAAAATATTTTTTAATTAAAATAGTTATTGTAATGCCATGCATGCTTAAAAATATTTTTTAATTAAAATAATATTTTTATTTTTAAAAACAATATACCAAAATTATCGAGAAAATATTTAAATATTTTATTTTTAAGAACAACATACCAAAATTATCGAGAAAATATTTAAAAAATAAGTTGAAAATCAGAAGCAAACATGACATTAAATATATCAAAATTATCGAGAAAATCAGAAGCAAACATGACATTAAATATAAACTCATTAGGCTTAGGATATACACATGCTTAACAAGCTAAGAATTTTAGTTTTATGTTTATGAAATGAAAATCACATCTAGTAAAACTAAACATTAATTTACAGTATGATCTAACAATCTTTAATGGAAATTGGATTGTAGATGGTTCTGATCCTGTTTACCCTTTCTCAAATGATGCCTTCAACTGTTTCATTAACAGAAGGCCTGACTTGGATTATTTTCGATATCAATGGGGTTCATGGATGCCACATTCCATGGTCTCAAGACAAATTCACTCAGTTCCCTTTAATTTTCATATGATCTGTATTATTTATATGTGAATAATTCAAATCTCTCTACAAAAAATAAAAATCTAGACTCTAGAATAAATAAAAAATGAGGTACAAGCTAAGAAAAATTGAAGGTAAAAAGAAGTTAAGGAAATAGCTGTGAAGAAGGCAAATGAGCTGTTGTTTAGCACGTAAAAAAAATGCTATTAAATTGTAAAAAATAATTCATAGTTTATTTTGAGCAATGTATTTTTCTATATTATTTTGATCTTTTTAATATAACTACATCCTTAAAAGGTATTTTTCTAAAAATATAATATTGACACACACATATAAGAAAATTTATTTGAAAATTAGTAAAACAAAAAAAAATGAAATTATCAAATGCTCAAACATAAATATGTGAATTTCTTTTTAATTGGTTAAATCTCTATCTTTTTTATTTATCGTTTATTAAGAGATAATTATAAATTATATAATTTTTTTTCCACAATCAAAAGTTTTATATGGGTGGTAGTAATTAAACCTATATTTATGATGTTCAATAATCAACTACTAATATTTATTCTCAATAGATAAATAGACATAAAAAACTGAGAGAAACAAGGGAGAAAATAAAAAAAGATATCCAGAGAGAAATTTCTAATTACTTTTCTTAGATCTTAAATTTATTTTTTTCTTTTATTATCTATCCATTCTTAAAATAAATAATAATAATAATAATATTAATTAATTATTATTATTGTTTATTTATTTATTGGGCACCTTAAAATTTTACACAAGGCAGCACTTAATTTTACCAATAACGCCGTGCCACGGCAAGGATGCTCATTAACACGACTGTAAGCGAAAAAAGAACCATATTAAACTTGCCAGAGCCTAACAGGAAGAGGCAAAGAAGCTCTCTCTGACTACTCGAAACGACAGATCTTTCCGCTTTCCTGTCCTTTTCTTCGCTACGAAGTCTAGAAACTGATCTCTGTAAGAACCCGTGTTCTCGTCAAGGCAAACGTGAAATAATCCCCGGAATAATTGATCGTCAACGCGATGAAGATCAACGTCGATAAAATGACTCGTAAAGTCGAAGTCGATAATCGGATTCCTCTCCGTAATTACTACAGAATCGCTGATAATCTTCTCCGTCAGGTCTCCAAAATTGCATTTTAATTCCAATTTAGCTATAATATCTCAACTATGCAACAATTTTTAATTTTTGCCCTAATTACTCTTTTTTTTCGTGTGTGGATTTGATAGGCAAATATACACAGAGAAGAGAAGAATGTAGTAGATTTGTACATAATGCTACTTAGATACTTAAGGTTAATATCGGCAAACTGCACCGTTTTTACCTTAATTTCATTTTTTTTAGAATTCATTTTTTTTTTTTGTGTTTTGTTCAGTTTGGTTTCTGAAACCATACCTTATCATCGAGATTACCAAGCTTTGTATCAAAAAGAAAGAGCAAACTACAAGAAAGTAAGTTTAATTTATTTTATATTTGTTCTTGCCGTTAGCTTTATGTTAATTGCGTTAATTATGATCACAATTAAGTTGTGATTATTTTGTTATTTAACAGAGATCATTTGCGGTGTTAAATGAGCTTGAATCAATCAAGCCTGAATTCCTAAGGCGAGTGGATGAGATAGAAAAAGCTTATGCAAGAACACAACAAGTCGAATTTAATGGTTCAGGAACATCTACTTTGGAATGGCCACCTGCTAATAAAAGTTCTTACTTGAGCAAGGTAATTATAAAGGAATTCTCTTTTGATCTGTGCATTGTGGATAAATGATACCTGGCATATTTTGTGTTATATTTATGTTTTTCATATGTTGTTTTTGTTATTTATTAACATTTTTTTTGGTTTTAGCCTGTCGCGCCAGTGTCATCGTGGAAGTATGATAATAATCATACTCAAGGGTTGTATTTAGACATGTCGCGAATTGACAAGCAGTTGCAGAAGTTGTGAGTATAATATTTCAAGAATAGTTTTATTATTTAGAGACACGAGTTCTGTATTTTCTGTAGCTGTATGGTATTCAAATTGCATTGCTTTTTGTTGTGAAAGATATGTCTTTGGTTTAAGAAGGCTGACGTTCATTGAATTTCTCATCTTGATGATTGTATGTCTTGCTATTTCTACTTCTTTTTTTTTGCCTGCGAACTGTGAATTTAAATGTGATGCATAAGGGTATTGAGCTCAAATTTTCAGTAAGAACCACTTAATTATTTTTGAAAACCTGCAGTTCTGTTAGTTTACCTTTACCAAAACAAGAGACTTTATCAAGACACTCGTTTTTAGGCCCAAATGGTTTCCGGGGCCAATGGTCAGGACCGAGTGCAGAGATAAAGGTAAAATTTTTGGCTGCTTCTTTTGTTTGCTTTTTGCACGTGTGTGCTTTCAATAAAACATGCAAAATCCATGGACTAATCGGTTTATTTTTATATGCAGGTTCAGTACCCTAGCAATGCTGACTTAACCTCTACTGAAAATTCAAGGTGAGGACTTTACCGAATCTGTTTAAACCTTCAACTATGTTTTTCTTTTCTTGAATTTTGGATTATTTTTGTTATATGTTGTGATGAATTGAAAATATTGAATGTGTTTCATAATACTTAGTAAGGTTTCCCAAAAAAATTGGGACTACTCTTAACATTGTGTTTTATTATGGATATGATAGCCTGAATCAGGCTGGACAATATGATGCTATGGCAGTAAAAGATGCCAATTCTGCGGCTGTTGAATCTACAATGGAATCAGTTCTATCCTTAGATGATGGTAGATGGCCACGTCTGGCTGAGGACACATGCCCAACATTAATTAATGAAGCAAGGGAGGATCCTTTTCAGTTTGTTGGCATCAGGCAACCCTCCCCTCCTCCTGTTCTTGCTAAAGTGCAGCAGGAATCTACTCTGATTCCTTCATCTAAAGTTGCTGATCCAAGACCTGGACCAGCAAAACCTTCTGATGATGGATTGCCAAGCTCTAATTCCTATCAACATTTACATGTTGTAGGTGTCCAAATCTTTTTAATGTTTGAAAATTCATATTTAGGGGAGATCCACTATCTTTTTTTATTTAAAAAAAAAGAAGTTATCATGGTCCTTTAATCTTCAATTTAATACTAGATTCTTGATCATTAGTACTTCTGTCTTATTATCCCCTTTTGACTGTCATTGCAGCCTGTAAATTTGATGGAAGACTTCTTGAGATTGGCTCGGGCAAATACGGATAAAAATTTAGAAACATGTGGTGTTCTTGCTGGTTCACTGGTAAGGGGAGCCAAATTTTTGTACAACAAAAAAATATATTTTTTCCTCAAAGCCTTTAAAGTTCCTTAATTAATTCACTTCATGTGTTGTAGAAAAACAGGGTTTTTCACATTACCACGCTTATAATTCCAAAGCAAGAGTCAACTTCAGATTCGGTATGAGAACATTTTTTTTCTCAGCTTAGCCTTTTATTTTATGTACTGTTTTTAACTAATGTTTTTTTCAAAATTATGAAGTTGCCCAAAATTCTATATGCTTCCTGCTCTACTACTTTCAACCAGTAAATCATTGAAGGGCAATTGTTGATGATTTTGAGTTATGAAATCTGTTAACTCTAGAGACATTAGGAGATTAGTTGACATTAAGATTATATCCACAAGAGCACATTGTATTCCCTCGTTGAGAGCATCCTCTTTTCCATGTCTCAATATATTTTGACGTATGCATATAAAGACATATGCGCACATGCACGAGTGTTTACCATCCCTACAAATGAAAAGTGGAACTATTCTTCAGTTTAATTTCTGTTAGCATTATTGTCAAATCAAACAAGACTGCAATATGCTGTGAATGCAGTCTGAGGTTCTTTGTTTCTTGTTTCTTTGGAAGATGCATGCCCACATTTTTGGACTCAAAATATACTATATGATGGAATGCAATTCAACATTATCACCTTAATTATGTGCATCTGACTTTGAAATATCATCTATCATAATTTCTTATTTTTAGGTCTCCCTTTTCTTCATGTCTGTGCTTTTAGTAACATCACCTGAAACAATTGCTAATGTGCAGTGCCAGACATTAAATGAAGAAGAAATATTTGAAGTTCAAGACAAACTATCACTTTTTCCCCTTGGATGGATTCATGTAAGTATCTCAATAATGGCGAGTTAGTGTCAGAATTTTTTTTTTAACTTGGCTGTGTTACTATGTTTTCATATTTGTTGTCCTGTTAGAAAGTATTTGGCTAGATGTTAAATTTCGCCATCATTCTGGTTAATTTTTTTACTCTGCATATTGTTGGTCTTGTTTTTGTTGGTATCATCCATAACTGCCTTCACATTTTGAGTAACTTGCTATCAGCCATTGGTATATAAAAGAGTTATGTATTTCTGTAGTGTTCGATTTGGTGCTTTATGTGTTACCTTATTCAAGTTTCTTGCATGACTTTTCAGACACATCCATCACAGACTTGTTTCATGTCTTCAGTTGATCTGCACACTCACTACTCGTATCAGGTAAGCTATCTTTTTTGCTGCCTTAGAGTTTGCACTAATACATCCCTGGCTCTTCTTTGTGGGATGTCATTATTTCTAGTTCATTGGGTTGTTCTCTTTCAGCTTGCATATGTGCAGCTAACTATGTGTGAAGTTTTTGAAAATTTTAAAGCTCTTGTGCGCTGGTTTTTCTTATTATATATCACTGCTTAATCACATCTAACAATTATCACTTAAGAAGTGGTTTCTACCACACCTTCTATTTCACCAATGCCCTAATTCTCCAATTATTTATGGACATACTAAAAATTGAAAAGAATATCAACATTTTGAGTTTTCGTTATCTTGTTTGATCTATTATCCATTTGTTTTGAAATTTAATGTGTATTGCTGATCAACCGTTTTGCTTCCTTGTTTTTTAGATCATGTTGCCTGAAGCAATTGCAATTGTTATGGCCCCAACAGATGAATCAAGGTGGGACCCCCCCAATTTTTCACTTCCCTAAATCTCGTTTATATAAATTGATTAAAAAATTTATGTTTAAAAGCTATAAAGAATAAATGCATTCACTACCTGAACCTTATATTTGTAGTTTTATTGTCATGAGGTTGCCTATTATTCGTGAGGTGTCGGACAAGTTTTGAAATTGTAGTCACAGCTTGAACCACATGGGCTGGACTATGGTCCGTATCTTATCCTATAGTTCCAACTGCCCGGTTGGTGATGTGAAGATGTCAGTAAATATGATAATGCAGGTTTTAGTATGAGATTAAAGGTGACTTATGAAAGAATGCAGTTCAATTACCTAATAGGATCTACATAGGGTTGATTCAAGTGGTTAAGTTGATGCTGATACTCTTATAAGAGGTGTAGGATACGACACCCACTGGCCACAAAATCCCATCTTGGCCACTTTCATGTAGGGGGGAGCTCTAGCCTATGTCTTGGACAAATGACCCCCCCTCAAAATCTATCTATCTAGCTCAGGTCGCTAACAAATATATTCTGCTAGTGCAGTCCACATGGAATTTTTCATCTATCTGATCCAAGTGGTGTGTCAGTGATTCGTAATTGCCAGCAGAGAGGGTTTCATCCCCATGAGGAGTCTTCGGATGGGAGCCCGATTTATGAGCACTGTTCTCATGTTTACATGAATTCCATGATGAAGTTTGATGTTGTTGATCTTCGGTAAACTTGCAAGCAGGAAGAGTTTCGATGGAAGTATTTTTCTTCAGAGCAAGTATGTATGTCAAAATGTTGTAAATTCAAGAGTTTCAATGAATAGAATGTTGTTGAAATAGAGCGTATACATTTGTTTCTTAACACCATTGGATGGAGTTTCTGGCCTCCATCTCCAAGATGCACAGATATTACCTCACTGTATATGATAATTTTTTGTGTTGTTGACTTGTATTTGAGTGTGTTCACTTTCCAACAAGCATTCCAGAATGGAAGGCGCTGGTTCAAGGAGCAACGCTCCGAACGTTACAAGGGTTCATAACCTTCTCTCTCAATGTATTCGATTAGAAATATGATCTTGTACAATCTATAAACAAACGAGTGTTATTATGTATAGAGAAGGAAGCTTGTATCTTTGCGTGTGCTTGATTTGAGGGATCTTGAGAGCATGTAGCTTGTAGGTCAATAATCTATGAGTTTGCATGGTACAAAACGCTGGTTACAGATATCACGGTCATGGCGAGGGTCTGGACCGCCTCTGTGTCATGAAGATTTTATATGGGGATTTTTAATGATCAGCCGTGCTGCTGGTTGTCAGGGAAGGGGAGAGATGGCCTGCAAGAGCAGTTATACTGGAAACCTCAATCCTTGGTTTCACGTTTGGCATAATTCCTTGTATTTCTCGTTCTACTGTTGCTTTGGTGAACATCAGTCAGTTGAGACTTTCGAGGATGCTATTAAATTATAGGAGAAAACGAGGGAGAAAAACTAGAGCCCACCTCTCTGATGAGACTCCGGTTGGAGCAAAGAAAAAGATTGGTGATCTAACAATCATGATACGAGTGTTCAATTGAATGAGCCTTCTTGCAAGCGTTGGTGGGCACGAATGCTTTGCAGTACACCTGTTACAGTCATCGGCTAAATCTTAAGCAATCTATGGCCTCGCTTCTCCAGCCTTGCATGTGACCTGCATCAATGTTGGCACACAATGATATTGACATTTAGTTAGATGGTCCCAGCTTCTTCCGTTTGGGAACTTGCAACTTCTGAATACCTTTTTATTGAATTGACGCATTTCTTTTCTCAATGCCCGACAAGAAAAGAGCAAGGGCATATGTTTGTTTTTTTCTTTTTCTTTTTTGTTATTTTTTTTATTAACATGTATAATTGATTAATTTATATGTATTTTTATTAATCTTATTAATCTTAAAATTATCAATTATATGTAAAATATATGTTTACAGTAACTCTAAAATTTATAAGATTTGAAGTAGTAATCTTTTAAAAAAAAAACTAGAACCTAATAATTAAATTATACCACTCAAAATTAATTTTTTATTATTTGTTTTTTTCTTCATTATTGTTTGTTGGGTGAGTGGGAAAGTTTGGATGCTCATTTATGATAAAATAATTCTTCCTCCTCATCCTCTCTCTTTTTTGTTTCTTTTCAATAGTGTTACAGGCTAGTTTGATAGTTTATACTCATCATACTAAATTCTCTATTCTCGGACAAGGCTTTTAATAACAGGGCATGCCCAGCAAAAAAATTCGAGGCGGAAATCACAGAAGAAGCATATCTCTTGACCCCGGCTTTCTACTAACTCATGGTTAACCATGAAAAAATCTTTCTAGAAGAATTAGTGCTAAGGGAAAGTAGGAGGAGGTAGAATACCGTAGTAAGTATCAGTTGTGACAATAATGAATGGCAATTGAATACTTTTCTTTTCGTTTTTTTTTTAATTTTTTTAATTGAACAGGAGAACTGGTAGGGCAGCGACGACACCTGTATTAAACCTAGCACAAGCCTTCACTCCGAGGAGAGGCTCAACGGAGCAGATCGCGACGTGGCCAAGATGGGGCAAAAGGAGTGGAGGAGAGCATTAACATGGGAGATCCGACTCTTGCTCGTTCGCACCCGTCACAGAGCTTTGCACACCTGTTTGGGTTGCTAAGCCTTGATGAACCTCCACATCCGAACCATCAGATGTAAGAAATCCAGCTGGTTTCAGAATTTTAATTAATTATATACTTAATAAAATCAACTGCCTAACCAAGAGGCTTGAATTGATCGACAAGACATTGGGTTGCTGGTTGACATTCTCAAGTTTGTTAAATCCATAGAAATACGAATTTGTGTGTCGAATTTAAATACCCTTATTAAACTTTAATAATTTCTGATAAATCCATATTTTCAACTATTCCCTTCGAATGAAAGACCTTACCTAAACACAAAGTTAGTACAACAAAACTACAACATAAATATGTATCTACCAAACTCTCTTTCCCTTTCAGGCTTTCACCCTCTCCTTCACCTCTCAGCTCAACTGTTTCATATATACCCCTGTTAGCCCATCTCCCACTTGAAAAAAAAAACATAAATTTTATAAATTTAACAATTATAGTCGGCCATAGAAGAGGAAAAAGAGAGAATAAGTGATTTAGGTATCCTGTAAACCCTAGAATTCTAACAATCATAAAACGTCAGCAGAAAAAGAAAGAAAGAAAGAAAGAAAGGGAAGAGCAGTTAAGGGAAGGCATGAAACAAAGAAAAAAACCATCCCATAAATATTAAGTCAGCAGAAAAAAAAAGAAAGAAAGAAAGGGGAGAGCAGTGAAGGGAAGGCATGATACAAAGAAAAAAACCATCCCATAAATATTTTTTATTTAAAAAGTATTAAAATAATATTTTTTAAAATTTATAATAAAAAATTTAAAAAATTAATAAAACAAAATATTAAAAAAATATCTTAACGAAAAGAAAGTTAAGATTGAGTCCTAGACAATGTTAAATAAATGGCAAAACCATAAACTCACGATTAGAGTTCACAATGAAACAGTCCACCGTATTTTCTTGAAGGCTTTTAGGTATTTTTTGGGTTAATAATGTCTCAGCTCAGCTAGCCTCTGGCCATGCTTTTATTGGCTTTAATGGTGAGAATATGTTTTTTTCTTCAAATAAATCTTAAATAGGTTATCCACACTCCAACTGAATACATGTATTATTCATAAAAAGAAAATGGTTCAATAACTATGGCTTATATTAGTATATCTGCTAGTTATTAATTCAACTGAATCAGATCTAATTATATTCTTTTGTGTTTTTCAAATGAAAAGTATTATTTACCATTTTGTATTGAACCAGAAAAAGTCAATGCTTTTAGAGTTTAATATAGATCCGTATCTTCTTAATTTTTCTTTGGCATGGTTTGAATACCTCATATTCTTTTGGATATATAGTTCAATTATTCTATAGATCCACCGTTATTTTTTCTTACATATAGTTAAAGGAGATAAAATGTCTATTTGTCAAGAAAAACTGAGCGTTTTCTTGGTTAATGATAAGGAAAAAAAAGAAAATTAAAAGAAAAGAAAAGAAAATTATTTAAGAATTCTAAAAGGAAGAAAATAAAACAAGGAAAATTAATTTGTAAATAAATATTTATTAATTCACTAACCAGCTTTTCTTCATTGAAAAACTATTTATAATATTAATTAGAATAAATATTTTATATCATTATACTATAAAATAACTAAATAACATAGCACATGCTAAAATTCTAATACTTGTAAAATATATCAATCATTAAATTTTATGCTATTTGTGCTTAATAAACCTATTAAAATATCTGTCCGGTCAACTAATTATTAAAGTTTATATTATTTGTGTTCGGATAATGTTTTTTTTTTAAATATAGAAAAGAGGAGAATAAGAGAGATTGAAGGAAAGTAAATTTGTGTTTAAAATGGAAAAAATGAAGAATTTATTAGCAAAACGAAATCACTATTTCACTTCAAAAAAAAAAAAGAAGAAGAAAAGAAACGAAATCACTGTAACATACTAACAAGGTAAATTGCATAAGTCATAAGGGGTAAAAATGGAAATAGAAAACAAACCAGGAAAAAAACCCAGTTTGATTGAAGACAACCTCAGTCTCATAGACTCATGGCACAGTCATACCAACACTTGGCACTTCTTGCAACAGACATCTCCACCTGTTCCCAACAGCTCACCCTCCAGGCTTGAATTCTTCCTTGGATTATGGATATTCCTTTTGTCAGGCCTGAGTAGTTGATTTTTTTTAATATAAAATCAACTCAATTTAAATATTTAAACTATTAATTAAATTTTTTAAATATAATTTATATTATTTTTTAATATATTTATTTAATTAAAAGTCATTAAAATTTTCTTTATATTTTATTTTTATAAAATAAATAAAAATAATTAAATTTAGTTTGTTATCCTAATTTTAATATTATATTAAAAATTTAATTAAATATAAAAGATATAATTTATAATATTTTTTTTGATATTTTAAATTAATTCTAACAACAATAATAATAATAATAATAGTGATGATGTTTTAAATTAGCTCTAACAACAACAACAATAATAATAATGATATAATTTTCAGATAGTACAACGCATGAATTGTAACTCGAATTAAGTTAAGAAATTTGCCTTGGTCATTGCTGTTTTTTCCTTTTCCGTGGTGCCCTCTGAATCCTAGTTTGATCCTTAATGCTTAAAAAAAAATGTATATCAAGATTTGACTCTAAATTCGTCATTGATCGACGCACGTGGCACGTTCTTTCACCGTTCATGTATCTACATCACCATTAATTTCTCCCTCCACCAAACTTGCTTCCGTATACAACAAAGGCTTTGGAAAAAAGACGAGCCTATTCAAATCAGTTCTCTCCCTTTACTGGAAAAGAAACGATCAAACAAGTCTCCTTCTCCAACTTTCAACAGGAGGAACTAACGCAGGAAGTGATCAGTTGCTCGTCAGGAAAGCCTGAAGGGTGAGTAGACATGGGAAGAGCACCATGCTGTGAGAAAGTAGGGCTAAAGAAAGGGAGATGGACAGCTGAAGAGGATGAAGCCTTAACCAAATACATTCTAGCCAACGGTGAAGGCTCGTGGAAATCACTACCTAAAAATGCAGGTGAGAAATGGTTGTCTTCTACATGAATCACGTATCTCAGATGGTTTTGCCCCTCTTTTTTGTTCCATATTGATGGTTGGTAGAGTTTGGTTTTTTGAAGGGTTATTAAGGTGTGGTAAGAGTTGTAGACTAAGATGGATTAACTACTTAAGAGCTGACTTGAAGAGAGGGAACATAACCAAAGAAGAGGAAGATACCATTGTTAAGTTGCATACTGCTTTGGGTAACAGGTAATCTTGCCTTTATTTTTGCATCTGCGATTATCCACATAACCACTAATTTTTATTTTCTTAATTCATCAGTTCAATTCTTGGTTAGGGGAGTTTAAATTTTTCGTACTTCTTTTTCAAAGAAAGCAATGGCCAATTGCTAGACATCTTCTTCTTCATCTTCTTCTTCTTCTTCTTCTTCTTCTTCTTCTTTTTATCATCGTTCACAATTTTATCTTCATTGTTTCGATTGTTCTCTCTACAAGAAAAGACTCGGACAATTCTTATTTTTCCCCTTTACCACGCACTTGGTTTTGGCTCAAGCGACAAAATGGTCGAGTTAAATATTTAGCATGGTGTTTAACATGATTAGGTTCTTGTAAAAGCAAGCAAATTGTGCCCCTTTACAAATCAGAACTGGTCTTGAATGTAAGAAATGTGCAATTCTTGTGCAAGAATTTAAGAGTAAGGCTAGGAATAATTAGGGGAAGAACTCCACGAAGACTAGGCTCTATCTACTGGTCTCTTTTTTCCATTACTTCTTCCAATGAAGGATGTACTCTGATACATTTCAGAAAAGTCATTCTGTAGTCAATTTGATAGTAGACGAGCACTTTTGATTTTTCTCTTTTCGGAACTCATAATAATCTCTGGAAAATAAAAACATCTTTAGCTTTGTGTTTGGCAAAAAAATAAAATCCAAATATTTTTTTTCCTTCTATTTCAAGTGGCATGTTTTACTGCCGCCGAGAATGTTTATATATGGTTTTTTTAAAAAAAATATATATTAAAATAACACTTTTTTTAATTTTAAAAATTTCCTTAATGCCACCACATCAAAACAAACAATTAAATATTATATATATATATATATATATATATATTAATTTGAAACTGAAACAAAAGAGAGTTGGTTATACCGCATTGTTGTACAGAAATCCCGTTTCAAAAATTTTGGTTGGATGTTGCTATCCTTGTCTTTTTGGTAACGACACCAAGAAAAAGCAGCTTGATTTCACAGGGAAAATAATTTACTGTCGACCAATCCAGTGCAGCGTATTAATTATACCTGCTGCTTGCTTTATAGCCATCCTGGGGCAATTTTTGCATGTACCATGTTTGGTCCGAGCATCAAATTGACCAATGACCTTAGCTTTGATCACGTTTCGTGGTTTTCTAGCGGGCCGAGAGTATTTGACCCCTAGCTCCCAGATCATTGCTATGATAACAGAGATGGCGACTTAATCAGACCACCTAATGTTCAAAGTTCGAACGATCCACCGTTCAATTTTTATGAAGAAACAAACAACCTGAAAGTCAAATGTTTAAGAACCAATATCACTGAAGTCAAGACGTTGAGCTTAATTAATAAAAAAATTACTCTAAATATTATTGTACTGAAGAGTTCATGTATTCATTATATTTTGATTTCAATAGTTAATGAGATAACAGTGGTTGATTTTGATCGTTCCAGATGGTCTTTGATTGCTGCTCAATTACCAGGACGAACAGACAATGAGATAAAGAACTACTGGAATTCTCATTTAAGCAGAAAAATTTACAGCTTCAATCGGTATAAAAATGATGATTCTTTACCAAGCATCATGGATATCACAGATGTAGCAGCTGGGCCATACAAGGGTAGACGTGGTAGAACAAGCCGGTCATCCATGAAAAAGCACAACGCCACATTAATGACATTAGGTAAGCCTAAGAGTCCTAAAGCCATAGCTCATGAGGTAACTGAACCAGCGAGCAAAGAAACAGCAGCGATCTCACCCAAAGGTACAAACAGCCCAATAAAGAGTTCGGCCGCTGAAGGTCCACAGAAGGAACCAGAAAATAGAAGGAATCATGGTGTGCAAGTCCAAGAATCTTGCATAGACATTGCTAAAAGAATTGATGCAGCTGGAATATCTCATTGCCCTATTAATGACGAGAAAGAGACTGAAACTTTAGGACCATATGAATGGCTAGACAGTGAAATACAGCGCCTTGAATATGCACTGCAAGGTCAAGTTGCAGATCCTTATGGAAATAATACAGTTGTGACATTAGAGACAGACAATGAGGCACCGTGTATGAGCAAGGAGAGAGAAAATCGTAGTGGGGTAATGGGACCAAAAAGGGTGGCCGTCCATTACCTGAAAAAACAAAGCAACAGCAGCAATGGTTGTAGCTCAAATGAAGAGAGTAACGGGGAATGGTACAATAGCTTTTCACCTATGAATTCTAGGTTTGATGAGGAATGGCTTGATTGGGACTGGACAGCAGTTGGGGATCTTGGTGGGTGGGGATTGTTACAATATGAAGAGGACAACTTGTTGACTAACGTTTCTGGAAATGACAATCGAGAAGGAGAGCAAGGATGTCATCGATGATTAACTCAGGAAGAATATATATATATATATATATATACTAGGTGTAGATTTAAGATCGATTTTATGGCCAGCTAATTATGTTTCAATGTTTTGCAAGTTTTCGTGAAGGTTTCCACCATAATGTTCCTATATATATATATATATATATATATATATATATATATAATCTTAGATAGATTATATATACGTATTTTAGATATATATTATATAAATGCTTTTATGATGAGTACAAATTCTGGGCAACGACTCTAACTAATACCAGTTGCTTGGATTTATCACTAAACAAAAAACACTATGATTTTGTTGTTTAGTGGTAGCACAATACACTCTCTTTTTCTTGCCCTCTCACTCACGGCAGCACATGCACTTGCACTTAGACACTTCTCTCTTGCAGACCCCTCTTTTCTACCCTTATTCTTCCTTTTCTCTCTTGCTGCTAACCCTAACACAAATGCTTCCTTACTAGGGCGGTTGTGCTAGGATTTGCCTTCTTGTACGGCTAGATTTTTTTCTGAAGAAAATCCTAGTTATAGCTAGCTAGACGAAAGCCTCCCGGACCTTTTAGAGATAATTTATAGAGAGAATCCTAGAGATTGCCTAAAATACAACGTCGACGTGCTATGAAGAAATCTAGATTGATGCTCAACATTTTAAACTCATACATTCATTAAGAAAAAAGAACGTAATCGTCTGTCATAATCTTCTCTCAAATTCAAACTCGAGACAAGGAAGATAAAATTTGCTATTCCAACTATTTGATTTTTATAAAATTACCACGCACCCTCTTCGTTAATGTTTATAATGTGACAGCTTAAAATGCTTTATATCAAATACCAAAAAGCCCACTAACATTAGATACTCACCTCCTTCCTGTTCTAATATAGAAACACAAAACAAAAAAAGTACTGCAGTCGATTTTTGCATCATGTATAAAAGAGAAGGGAATCATGGGCCACCAAGGAGACAAGAAATAGAAGGGTTGACTCGGTCTAAAGATCTCTATTCGAATTTGGAGTCGCCAGAGTCCTACGAATCTGACTGTATAAATGGTATGTACCTTTTTTTAATCTTTCTTTTAGGCTTTTCCTGTGCTCATCTTCCTTTGACAAATTATATGATTAGACAGTGGTTTTGCAAAATTTATGAAGTGGTGTTGACAATGTTCGGCAAATTCTTGGGTGTTGATAATTATCCTTGAGTTATTGTCACTGACAGAGAGTTGACTACTGAATGCAATGAAGTGGTTTTTCCACCAACTGCTAATATTTATGCACTGGGCATATTGGAAAATAGATATTGGCCATCTGCAAGTGTTAATTATTCTGAGGGAGCAGATGATTGAGACGCATTTTTATCAACTTCGACTGATTTGATCTCCTAGTGAGTTATATTTGGTGAATCTTGGCACCGTCTTGAAGAGCAATTAACATGACAGATATGCTATTGTGATGGATGACATCAAAAGTACTTGGTTTCTTCAAAAAAGAATTTGCATCGATAAAACCTGTGCCCGAACCAAGTGAGTGTTTGGCATTGTGGCCGTTAGTAAATTTCACCTATAGTCTTAATTTTTTATGTCTAGTAACGTTTTTACTGTAATTTTTTAATGATGAGTCTTATTATTACCTGTGATGCAACTACAGGTTACAACAAGCAGCTAATTGCTGCTTCTTGTTATGGAAAATGGATGAACAGTGGAGCCATGCTCCCATGTTCATCTATTTTCTTCAACAAATTCAACAAACAGTGAAGCATGTTGTATTGTTGCGAACTAGTCTGATTTAAAATTAAAAATATATTAAACTAGTTTAATTCAATAAAATAAAAAAATATTTTTTATTTTTTATTTTATTTTATTTAAAAAATTACTATTCAATATTATTTAATAATTATATAAATTAGATAGAAATCACTTGATAATGCTACATTTACAGAATTTAATTATAATTTTAATTTTATTCCTGATTATATTGTACATGATATTGTTGTACTTTTAAAAAATTGATGAAAACTATAGTTTTTATCGGATATATTTTATACGTAATGGAATTATGGATAATTTAATGAAATAATAAAAAAATATTTATAAAAAAGTTATTTATTTTATGATATAATAGCAGTAGTTAAATCTATAATATTTAAATTAAAAATCATTAATATTAATATATATATTTTTTAAAATTATTTTATAATCTCAATTTTAAAAGTATTTTTAACCAAACATATTAAATTATTTTTTATTTAACATCAATTTTAAATAAATATCTATAAAATTAAACTAATTTTAATTAAAGATATTTTTTAAAATTATAATTATAATAACAATCACAATAGCAAAGAGACTGTAAAGACTCGATTGAGTTCAAGAGCCGAAGATATGCGCATGCAATAATCCTAAAGAAATACGTTCAAAGTGGTGCAGTGGAGGAACGCGTCTTGCTGTTGAAATTGAATTCCAAGAGATTAAGGTAAGACTTTCTTTCAAAATACCGTGCTGGACAGAGCGTGCAGGACAAAAGTTTATTTAATTCCGAACAAACAACCAAATGAAAACTCATTGTCAATAAAATAATTATAAATGCCGCATCAGTAAATAGTTGGCAAATCCTTTTCTGATTTCAATCATGTTGAGTCTCCTGTCAAGTACATGTTGCGTTGGGTCAGCAAATTACTAAAACCAAATGTATTGGATCGTTTTCTTGGTTACGTCCTGGAAAAATACATCACTATCTCCATCAAGTTTTTAAAAAAATATTATTTTCTTTATTGTATCTTAAAAAAGATAGGCATTTCCTCAAGAGAAATCACATCATTTTTACGACTGAGTTTAAAATAATTAATCTTTAAATTTTTTTAAAATCTATTACATTTAAGTTAATTATATATATATATATATATATAAAATGATTAAAAACTTAGAGGTGCTAAAATAAGATGTGGTTTTTTTTCGCATGTTAAATTAAGTAAAGTTTATTGTAAAATTTTATTAAAATCCTTTTGTTTATTGGAAAGAAGTTTTTCTAGAAAATAAATTTTGGTAAAGTGAATTATTTCTTGATATTTGATAGTATAATGAAAAATAAGTTATAAAATATTTTTCAATATTTAGTTATATCATAAAAAATAAGCTGTAAAATAATTTATTAATAATTTATTTTTTTAAGTATATTAAAATAATAAAAAAAACAAATCTTATAAATTAAAACGTTGAATGAAAATGAAATTGAAAAAAAAATATAATTTTATAAATTATTTCAAATAAAATAAATAATAATTAAAATAATAAAGATCAAATCTAAAAAATTAAAAAATTAAAAGATGAAGAAATTAAAATAATAATAATTAATATTTCATAAATTATTTCAGATAAAATAAGTAACAATGAAAATAATAAGGATCAAATTTGATAAATAAAAAATTTCAATTAAAAAATAATAACTATAAAAATGAAGATTAAAGTTAATATAAAAAATAAGTTCTAAGAAATGAAATTGAAAAATAAATATTCAAAACAAAATATATATAATAATTAAAAATTTGATAATTAAATTTATTATAATAAGTAAGTAATATGATATTTTTAATTTTTTTATAATTTTTAAAAAATATTTTTTGTTCAAAATAAAAAAAATACTTTTCTAAAAATTAAGTTAAAATTTTTTAGAAATAAAAAAAATAAAAAATAAAAAATAATTTTACAGAAACTAATTTACGTCGAAAAAACCCAAGTAAACGGTTGAATCTCAAAAATGAGAAAAAGTGCCCCAAAAGCCTAGATTCTTTTACTACCACACATTTGGCCAAAAACGTCCTGAGACTAAAACGCTGCACCTTGCTCGGCCTTTCTTTTCTTGGATAGCGGACCACTCAAACTAGGATGCAGGAGAGAAAACATCCTAGGCAGACACAGGATGACGACAGGCATCACTTAAAATGACAGACGAAACTAGACTGGTTTCGTGCCTAGTACAAACGGTCGAATCATGAGACAAACAGGCCCAGCTTACCACCTAACCTGTTCGTCTCCTTCAGCTCGCCCACTCAGCTAAACTCCTTTTTACCATCCGGGTTGTCAAGAAGGAAAAACTCAAGAACCAAACAGATAAGAATCATGCTGGCTACTGTATTGACATGTTCTGAAAAAAGATCGGACACGAACAAAAAACACACAGGACATTTATTCCAGTTATACTTTGGTGATGCTGCTGCTGCTGCTGCGAAAACGATGCCTGCTATTGTTTTGAAAATCCTTTCAACAGAGCTCATTTCTCTTAATTTTTGTCTCTGCCCAACTCTTTTTTATATTGGTTTCTGCTGCTGTCACAACGGACTCCCTCCTTCTAACGAAAACAGGCACACATTTGCTACATATCGAAGCCCTATTAGCTGGAATGTATTTTACTAACCCTACCCGCTTCAATATCTGCGCGAAACAGGCTAGTCCTGACAAAAGCACATAATTAACAATTTTTTGGAAGGTTTAATAAACTTAAATAACAAATATAAAACTACGTCATTACTTAGTTAGGAAAAATTAGAAAGTTCATGCACATGTTTTATAAAACTACGCACATTCCATTGTCCGAGAAACCTCGAACCCAACATCATATCAAGCAATGAAATACTCGAGACGACTGGAAATAGCCACCAGAAAAACTTCATGGATTGCAGACTGAACAGTTGAATAAGAAAATTGTTAGTGAGCTGAAGAGAGCCGAGCTGTAATCAATTGAACCAGAGTTCGTATGATAGCCTGCATATGCATAAGCTGGCTTCTCCAACCTCGATTACAGTGATTTTGCTTATGAGTTATGATGACAACTTATGAACACTTTCTAGCCAAATAAATGAAGCGAACAATAAAGAATCTTATAAACACCCCGAGGAAAACATACGTTGGGATTGGCAAACACTAGAAATGGAAAGCTATTATGCTGAGGCATTGGTTAAAACCTAGAGATTGGTTAAGACCTAACAGCTCTACACAAAGCACAACCCTTGTTCTCTACAAGCACCATCCACCATACATTATCCCCAATCTCTCGCCATCGTGAATCTCCTTCTTGGGTTATAGGCATCAAAACAGCAAGATATCAGCAACAACCTCATTAACCAATGAATTAAATATCTGGC